ATTGTGCAGCACTTATGCGTGCTGACTTCCAAGGGAACTGTGCTTAACTTTCAGGCTGTGAAGACTGAATGGGTTGAAATGCTGTCCTGAAAACCCAACACAGGAGCAGAACTTCAGTGGTGCTGAAAATCCTTGACAGCAGGAGCCATAAAGTCTGTGCTGTTGATGAGGTAGCAATATGAGACAGCGAAATAGGCCTCAAAACCTGATGGCCTTTCTTTTGACTCATGTCAACAGTGTTTATGGAAACAATACTGAGTCACTGGATGACAAACAAGATCCTGGGCTGGCAGCTAAAGGGAAACCATAGGAAGGGATTCATAGATCCTAAGAACATAAACCCTCTTGGGATTTTTAAGGGAGCAAGGAAAGCCCACATTGTGTGGCTGCCTCAAGTGGTGTTTCGTACGCTAGCAAATTTGAGAGAAGACAGGCAATCTTTGCATCCTTACCAACCACTGCCAAGGCCCAAGCCCCAAAAGCACTTCATCTAAAATGCTTGTGTTACACACAGCAAAGCCAAGAAGGTTCACACCTATTCTTAACCTACGATGTGCTGTTGAACTGGGGGGGGAGAGGCGGAAACCAACCCCTATCCACAAAACTTTAAAACCCAGAAGCCACAAAGAATCCAAGACTCACTTTCTCTGTGACAGCCATCACCAGCTATACCACAAGCTGCTCTGTGAGCAGGAGAATCTAAGCAGCATGTATTCCTGGGGCCCCCTGCCATGAAGGCTCTTGTGCCTAATAACATACATAAGCCCACTCTCCAGCCTTTCCCCAAGACACCAGCCCAGGCCTTGCTCCCTTGCAGCTTATTCTCTGAGGCATCTTTGAGACCATGGCAGAGGCCATTGCTCAGAAGCGGGCAGGGAGCGTGGACACACAGGAGTCACCCCAGCTGCAGACGGCGGCTCTGTCCCTTTCCTCGCGCTCCCACCTCCCCTAGCTCGAACCCTGTGTGTTTTGTTAGGAGGAGTCTGGGGGACCGAACCGATCTGGAGGGGGCCTCAGGCCCCAACACTTGAGGGCCGCTCCCGCCAGGCCTGGCGCTGAGGGGGCCCGGGAAGCCGCGGAAACAAGAAGCGCCTGCCCGCAACCCCCCAACCCTCCTGGGCAGAGCAGTGGTCAGGGCCCACCGCGCCGGGGCCTCCGCACACGGTCCCTCCCCTCCCAGGGGCGGCCCGGCGCTGCAGCCCTTCCTCTGCCCTCGCCGCCCCTCTCGGCGCAGACTAAAGACGGCGCAGCCGCGCTTCGAGAATAGCCTCCCCCTTCCCTCCGCCCCCTCACGGCAGCGGGGAGCCCCCCTTAGCGACTACGCCAGGAGCGCAGAACGCCCCTTAGCAACCAGCTAGGCCGCAGCATCCCCGGCCTTTCCCAGCCGCCGCGGCCGCCTCCCCCCCGCCCTTCCGCCGGGAAGGCCGCGCTTACAGGTCGGTGCCGAGCTGGGTGAAGCCGGAGTTGAGGCAGCCACGGGCTATGCGCCTCCAGAGGAGATCGCGGCTACTGAGGAAGCGCAGGCGGCGGCAGACCTGGCCCAGGCGGCCCAAGGCCTGCGCGTCCAGGTAGGAGCAGATGAGGAGCAGCAGCTCCTCGGG